TTCAGTCCCGCATCGGGCTCCCTGCTCGGCGGGGAGTCTGCTTCTCCCTCTGACCCTCCCCCCTCTCATGTGCTCTTTCTCTCAAATAAGTAAAAAGAAAAAAGAAAAAAAAAAGGAGTGACGTATTGACACAGGGGACATGGACGAACCCTGAAATCATTCCTTATGCGAAGTGCGAGAATCCGGACACATTAGGCCAGGTATGGTATGCTCTGTATAGATGAAATGTCCAGAACTGGCAGATGCACACAGACAGAAGGTAGACTGGTGACTGCTGGGAGATGGGGTGAGGAATGGGGAGTGACTGCTAACAAACACGAGGTTTCTTTCTGGGGCAATGAGAATGTTCTAGAACCAGAGAGTGTGATGGGTGCACAACTCTGTGAATGTGCTAATTGTGCACTGTGAGGGTAAATTTCATGGTATAAGAATTATATCTCAATTAAAAACTTAAATGACTATGAAAATTTGAAATACCAGAATTTGTAGAAACCAGCAAAAGTAGTCATATGAAAATTTATAGTTTTGGTTTTTTTTTTAAAGATTTTATTTATTTGACAGAGAGAGACACAGCGAGAGAGGGAACACAAGCAGGGGGAGTGGGAGAGGGAGAAGCAGGTTTCCCGCTGAGCAGGGAGCCGGATGCAGGGCTCGATCCCAGCACCCTGGGATCATGATCTGAGCCAAAGGCAGCCGCTCAACCAACTAAGCCACTCAGGCGCCCTGAAAATTTATAGTTTTAAGCACATTTTTCAGAAAACAAAAAAAGGCTGAAAAAGAAAAGAGCTAAATATTCAACCCAAGAACTTGGGAAGAGACTAATAAAACAAATCTAAAGAAATAAAAACAAATAAATAATAAAGATAAAGATAGATTTCAAAGATATAGAGACTCATAATAAACCTCAAAAGTTTTTTTTAAAAGCCAATTCTGTAAAAAGCAAGATAGAGAGAACTCTGCCTATACAAAGTCCAAAAAAGAAAAACAGCATATAATGGAAAAGGGGAAAATAATAAAAATTTAATTTAAATAAAAATTTAAATCATTTTGAAAAGTTAGAATATAACAGACAAAGGAGACAGATTTGGGGGGGGGAATGCCTGTAAAACAGCAATTCTGTCACAAGAAGAAATCAAATCTGAGCCAACTTGTAGCTGTTACAAGAAACCGCTCCATGCCAGACGTCTGCAGTGCCCTCTGGAGGACACATCCAGCATCAGGGCTCTTTTTTTTTTTAAGATTTT